AGAAAGCATATGTAAGCACTGTTACTGTCTCTCCACCCATGCCTTCTCCATATGTCAGGCACACAGAAAGCACTATGTAAGCACTGTTACTGTCTCTCCACCCATGCCTTCTCCAAATGTACCTAAAACATTAGCTCTTCATGCCAATGATCTCTGCATTAGGCTAAGCAAACTGAAGCTTAGAGAAGCTGGCTAATGCTCTACACAGTAATTCTAAAGCTAAGATCTAATTGTAATTTAAAACTAGTGCCTTCCCTGTCCAACAGACCATTTCTAAGATGTGGGTATTAATCAAAATTAGTGGCTCATATAAATGATCCATTTCATTTTTTTTTTCCTTGAGACAGGGTCTCACTATGCAGTTCAGGCTGGCCTTGTGTTCATTTTGTAGCCCCAGGCTGATCTCAAACTCATAGCAATCCTCCTGTCTCAACCTCCTGAGTGCTGGGATTACAGGTGTGTGCCATTATGCCCAATTCTCCATTTCACTTTTAAATGGCCCATGTCCTCTTGTTTGTTCTCAAGGAAACTACTTTTTAAAAAGGCAAAAGCCAAACAGTAGACATCCATATTTTTGCTATCATAGTTTGATGGAAACTTTTCTGTACGATTTGGAAACCTTTGAAGAAAGAATGATCAAGTTATCCCTTCTGAGCTGAAACAAAGCACTTAAAAATGAAGACTATATTGTTCCAAGTAACACACTTCCCATACTAACAGAGTATACCTGTCATTTCTACAAAGCATAGGACTTAAATCAACACTGAGGCAGGAGAAGTTGGCCCTGAGATAAAGGAGTCTTTTTTTAAATTTGATACAGGGTCTCGCTACACAGCTTAGACTGGTAGTGATCCTCCCCAGAGCCGGGATTACAGGTGTGCACCACCACACCCGGATTCTGGGCCAGCAGAGTGTGCCCAATATTCCATGGCTGGCAAGGCATGTGGTACCAGGAATGAAGCTCAGGACCTTGCAATTGACAGGTGGGTGCTTAAGATTGCTGAGCTATATCATCCCCAGTCCAAGCAGTCTTAATTATCTCTGACATCTCCTCTTGGCCATGTTGGTCCTGCTGAGTTTGCTTGTGGATGGTAGCTGGTATGAATGTGAAGAAAAGGAGGAAACATCAAACACATGGTACTCCCTCCTTACAATAAGCAAGAATTCCTCAAGAGCAAGGACATTTACTAGTCCACTTAAATCTTATGATAGTAGCCGGTAAACAACAATTACTGTTAAGATTACCACAATTAGCTGGGCATAGTGGTACATCCTTATAGTATCCGCACTCTGGGAGGCTAAAGCATGAGAATTGCAAAGTTCAAGCCCAGTCTGAGGGATTTGATGAGACACTATTTCAAAACAAAAACTAAAAAAACAATGGTTGGGGGTGTAGCAAATGCCCTGGGTTCAATCCTCTATAATGCAAAACAAACAAACAAACAAAATGATTGCCACCATTAAAAGACTTTCAAAAATACAGTATAGAAGTATATTCCTTTCAGTGAATAGCAAGAATTCACTGAACTGAATGGATTCAATGCTAGATTCTGATTACTTTCTCTTTCTGTTACTAGGCAATAGTTAAACTGGAGAGCACTATATTACATACATAAATGTTTATCTAATGACTGAAAATTTTATTTTCTGAGTACATGTACCTCTGGTAAATTAAAAAACAGAGAGCCACTTTATTTTAGGAAAATATTAAAATAAAGGCCTCAGTTAGAAATTTAATATAACTATCAGTGTCACTCGACAAATCTGTTGTGTCTAGAAACAGTGTGTTGCACAGTACACTTTGGAAACCACTTAGCGTATCTTAGGTACTTAAGTTTATTACTTTACCCTCCGCTTTTATCTATACTTTACCCATCTTGAATTTTAGCCAGATAACCTTTAAGACACAAGGGGAGAAAGTAGTAACAAGTGAGGAGATGCTGGCCAAAGGAGTAATTGAATCTGCACTCGACAGGCAATGGCCCTTGTAGAACAACAGTACTCATGCTCCTGGAATACACAATTTAGAGCAGAATCTGTAGAACTGGTTAACAGAATTAAGAGCAAGTTACTCTCAGAGGTGTCTGCTATGGATTTTTTTTTTTTTTAAAGGTAGGGTCTCACAATGAAGTTCAGGCTGGCTTTGAGTTCACTACATTGCCAACTAGTATTGAAGTTGTGGCAATCCTCTTGCCTCAGCCTCCCAAGTGCTGGGATTACAGGCATGCACCACCACACCTGGTTTAGGATAGATAAACAGCTACTTGCTCTTAGTTCAATGAGAAGAAAGATTTGTACTAATAGTGTTTAGACAAGATATCATGTCTACATCTTGTACCATGAATAACTACTACAAAGACAACAATATGCAATGTATTAATATTGTAACTATCCTACTAACTTGTTTTGTAACTGTCTCATTGCTATTTCTTTCTCAATAAAATTAATTTTTAAAAAAATCTTAGGGGCCGGGGAGATGGCTTAGTAGAATAAGCACTTCCCTGGCAAGTGCAAGGGCCTGAATTCAATCTGTGGTTCCACTAAAAAAAAAAAAGAAAACATCTTTTTTCCTCTCCTCTAAGATTGTCTAAAGTAGGTCAACATGTGTAAAATAACAAACCTCCCATTCCACTCCTATCCTGACAAAATCTCCAGTATATTGCAAAATGCCCTTTTCCCACATTTTTCTTCTGTCACTGGGTCACAATTAACTATAGAGGTCTAAGCCCAGGGCTATTTCCCCAAGTTTGTCTTATGCCCAAGAGGCAGCCCTTCTGAGCACTGGGTGCTTGAACTAAATTTTGTCTCCAAGTAATCTTTCTTTCTCTACATACCCATGGTCCACGGCGACAGTAACACATTTAATGTTTGTGTATTTTATATACTTTGAGATAGGCAGCAAGCAATGAACTATACTATCCTGTGTAATTAATAATAACCACATTAAACAATGGAAAACTAATATAGTTAATCTCATGTCAAAAGTATTTCAGTATAAAATCTACATGAAAAAAAATTAAGATATTTCATGCTTTTTTCCATGGTCTTCAAAATCCAGTATTTTACATTTACAGTCTCAACTTTAGTCTAACCAGCCACTACTGTATTGGACAGAACATTTACCTTCTCTTATCACCAATATAACAGGACTGAAATATTACAAAAAAGTTCATCCAAAGTAATGTTAAACAGCAGGTGACTGATTAAAATGCCTGGGTCTTTTCTAATTAGTAAAACAGAAAATTTAATTATTTTTAAATGGCTTTGAAAATCATTCTGACATCATTTTTACAAAATAGTAGTATTTTTACCAAGTATTTCTGGACATTAGGCTATTCCTCCCCATCTGAGTTGCTAATTCTGTCACTGATTATTTAATCATTATGTGCAAAAAATCATGCTGGATGCAATGATAGAAGTCACCGTCTACTTAACAAAATTTCCAAACTAGTAAAATAAGGAAGAGTAAAAGTGTAAAAAATTTACATCTCTACTTTACTGTGTCACTCTGTATCAGCTATTTGTTTTCCTATCACTTCTTTCCCAGTTCAATGAAGGGAATAAGTTGTGGAATTTTCTGTAGTAATTAGATTATTTTCTAGAAAAGAAGCATGTACAAAGTCCACTAACTACATTTTAAAAACAGTATCTTCTCCCAATGGGAACAGAAAAATTACAAGATTTAGTAGGACAGGTCTTGAAGGCTAGGACTGAAGAGGATAGTAAAGAAGTTCAAAAAATGAATAAGCAGACCTCTGGTTTTTGAGTTCCATATTACGAAGTGATAATCCATGTGTACTTTTCGCCTGCTCACGTGCAATCATCAGGCTGCAAGCAGGAGAAACTATCCTGCTCATGTGTTCCTTTAATATAATAAATCTATGAATACTCTGAGGCAGTATGGGAACAGTATATCACATACGTAGGTATTCTCTGGAATGTAGAAGTCAATAAAAGGACAGCCTGAATGAACTACGGGTATCACTTAAAATGTGGAGACAAAGGATCTGAGGAAGTAAGGATGACTGGGCCAGGGATATAGCTCAGTGGCAGGAGCACCTGCTTGGCAAATGCAAGGTCCTGAGTTTGATCCCTGGTACCACAAAAAAAAAAGATGATGGTGCTACAAGCTACATAGAAAAACTGACATCTTGAGTAAGCAGTTAAATGTTAAAATTTTAAAGGAAAATGGAAGGTATATGCCCCTTCTTTTTGGAACTATAGCTATTGCGCTCATGTGAGAAAGTTAACCATCAGAGCTTCCTCTGAGTTTCACTCACACAGCATGTTTGTTTATGTACTATCCTTGGAGCCACTGGGGCAAGGTGTCATTTCCACCAGACCATGCTCATATTGAATAAGCTAGGTAAAACTGTCATTTTAATATTTCCTGTTACATTGTCTTATAAAAATTAACCAAAAATATGCAGTTTTTGGTCTTCCTGTATTTAAATAATTGGACTGGTTAAGTGGTTAGTGAATTTAAAATCTGTCATTAAAAACAATAAATTGTGTGAACCATTTCATTCAAGGTTGGAGGCAGAAAATCTAGCAGTGACATGCTTTTATTCTACTAATCATAAATATAAAAAAGACAAATACAATACATTTCTAATTTAACACAATAATCTTGCAAGTACTTAGTACAATCAAGGAAAAGATACATCCATTACTAAGTTTCCAGACCAAATTATCAAAAAAAAAAAATCAATCAACATATTTTTTGTGATTATTTTTCCATGAAGACAATAATTTGACAAGTCTGATAAAGACCAAGTCATCCAAACTATGTTTCTACAAATACAGTTTAACAGAAAAAAAAAGAACAAGTTGAAAACTATTAGGAATATTCACTTAAAGTCTCAATACTGTACAAGAAAATAAACTGTCATTCTACCAAATGTTCCAAAGTTAAACAAAAAGCTATACAGCTAATTTTCCCAGTAATCATTAACAGAAAACTAGTATTAATGAAGTAATGCCACTGTATTAATCTTCCACATATATGTCACATAACATTCAAAACTGCACTGTATCTTTAAAGAATCCTTTTTCACGTAACTTATTTAACAATCCAAAATCCCTGCAGCTTTTCTATTTCAATCCTGAGAAAGTATCTCCTTCCATTACTATGGATGAAATAATCTGTCAGGCCAGTCTTCATTCTCAAACCAAGTTTTACCTGACTTATTTCTGTCTCTAGTCTTTTGTTCAGCTTCTCCTACTTGGAGCACTCTCATGATCTGTTCAATTGTTCTATCAATTATAAAGTAGATTTTTGTCTTCTCTCCAACTATGTCTCCTTTTAAGCCCACTACACTTATTAGGCTATGTGGAATTACAAAGCTGGGAGATGAGACCACCAGGTCTCTATTTTACTGGGTGATTACTCTGGAAATAAGGGCCCATACCACCCCCCCAAAAAAAGCCTGCTTTTTCAAGCATTTCTGAATTATCTTTTTCAAAGTTTCTTTCAATAGGAGAAAAAGGTTAATGTGGAGGCAAAGCTGTTGGCAACACTCAAAGGAGTGGGCCCAGCCAATAGCAGACAACATTACAATGTAATCAATGGTGCAGAGACCAGTCATAAAGAAAAATCACAGAAAAAGTGGTCCATTGTTAATCTCCCTTGACAATGCACACTAATTATCCATGGAATCAGTTCCTTAACTATTGGATGCAGAGCAGTACAGCAGAACAGGCTCCTAGACAAACTAGAAGTCCAAGTGGTAGTAGTAAGATCAGAGGCCGTTGGAAAAACAGGGCTCATGCAGTGTAGATCAAGGTAATGCAACCTACATCATTGGTTTGTATTGTCATGGAGCATGGGATTTTAACACAGAAGAGTATGAAAGCCAAGTACTGGTTAAGAAGCATGTCCATGCCAGTCTCAGTCTTGAGGTTTAAAGAACTAAATATTAAGAAAGAAGGGGTACAGAAAGTTTAACAAAAAAAAAAAAAAAAAAAAAAAAAAAGCATACCCATTGCTCTTTCCCAAGCATATGTCCAGCAGGAGATGATAGGGGACTTTGTGCAGAATTCCAAACGTAGATGTTAACCAGATTGGAAACCGAAAGGCCTGGGTATCTCTACTGGCTCTCTTATTGGTCGACGTCTGGTTCTTCGAACTCCTTCACGCAACAGGTAGTATTGCAGCGGATTTGGCCACAGATCCTCTTTGATAATCTCAGCAATTCTGTCAGCCTCTGGAAGACTGTGGTCTGAAAACCAGGTAAAGAAGCTGCAGATAGGGTCTTGGTTTCTGCGAATGAAGGTCTGGGGTTCATGTCCCCTGCGCCAGATGATGGGAGTGGAAAGAGACACTATTCGCCCAGAAGATCTGACCTCAAATTCCTTGACGATCAGCTTATTTCTGAAGTAGGGGTTTCTTCTAAAGAAGAACTTGAACTTGCAGCCAGTGGTAGGATGTCTCAGTTCCTTCACCTCCAAATTGGTTACATACCTTAACATATCTGCATCTTGGCCCCTAACCATGGCAGACAACTGGGGGTGGTTTCTAAAAGCAGTCATCCAGAAGCCTGGGATACTCTGGATGATGTAGTTCCTCCGCTCCAGGTAGTGCTGATGCATCCGCCCAAACTTCTGCTCCAGCTGCCGGAAGGCCCGGTCCGCCTGGGCATTCACAGTGTCCAGTTCCAACTGGATGGCCTCCAGAGGATCCATGCGCAGATCCATATTTAGGGCCCAGGGTCCGGCGCCCTTCACCTCTCCTTTGATTCCATCTTCCTCCACCACCTTCATTTTTTCACCTAATGGCACCTCCACTTCTACAGCCGTCTCCACTCCCTCCTTTTCCATCCTTTTCTCCATCATTACTTCAGACCCTACTTCTTTCACCGCTACAGACATGACGGCGCACTTTTCATCCACTGCTTCCTCGCCTTTCACTTTCCCCGTCACCTCAGACGCGGAGCTCTCTGCGCCCCACGTTTCCGGGGTTTCCTCCTCTTCCTGGGTACCAGTCTTCGGGAGGCTGTCGGGGACCAGCTCCGCGGCTGCGGCTAGGCCCCCACTGGAAGGCGGCGCCTCCAGCTGCCGCACCCTGGGCTCTGCGCAACCACGACCCCCGTCATCTCCCGCCCAGGCAACAGGTCCACCGCACAGGGAACCATCAGGGACGCCTTCCTCTTCCAACAGCTGGGACGACCCCCGGCTTCCTTCACCCATCTCGGCCATCACCTGCGTCACCTGGGTCTTCTCGCAGAGCGACAGGCACCGTCCGGATCTCCCGGAGCGTGGAACGCTGGCCAGGAAGGGTCAGGCTGCAGTCTGGAAGGAGGAGTCCTTTCGATCGTCAGGGCCGCTCTTGCTAGCAGCAAGCGAAGGTCTTTTTCTCCCCTCAGAGACGCGCTCCCGAGGAAGAGCAAAACACTGGTCTTGGGAACACCTCCGCAGCCGCGAAGCTGGGAGGCGGTGTCAGCGGGGAACCGCGGGCACCAATCACAGCAGCGCTAGCGCGCGTCTCCGGGGCAGTGACGTCAACACCGTAGATCTCACAGGCTCGCGAGAACTGGCTGAGCCAGGATTGGTTCCGCCGCTACCTGTTAGATCAAACGAATTCTACTTTACTTCTGAAAAATAAATGTAGGTCGCCCACTGAAAGCAGTGACGACTGTGCTTGCAGTGCTTCTGGAAACTGCGCGCAACATGATGGCTGGAGCAATTGTAGAAATCATATCCCTCATGCTACTTGCTGTCTCATGCTGAAAACATTTTCTTGGTTTTCAGTGTTGTAGGCAGGAAAGTAAATGTATTCCGTTCCCCGTATAGGTAGGAGCAAAAGTATATTTCTAACTAAGAGGAATAGCGAGATATTTCCCTAAGTAGGAATGACATAAAAGTATCACTCAGCCTCTGAGATACTGAGTTTTACTATTAAAGTTACACGTGTTATTCATTGCTGGTCCTCAATTTACAATCTGCATCAAATAAGAATCTGATGCATAATATCAACAGGAATTAAACCTGGATCAATGAACTCCAGCTTTGCCCCTCTCTGCAAATAAAAGTGAGATGTATTTTCAGCCCCATAACCTATAAATTTATTAATGCCTTTAGTTCTATAAGGTAGAAAGTTTGGCATTAATGAAATATGGCAATCAGCTCATAGTTTCAGATAGTTGTTATTTTTGTTTGTTGACTTGTTACTGAACTCAGACTCCTTCAGTAGGAAAATCAGTGCCTAAGAAAAGTGTTGAGAGAGAATACACGTTATTGCTCATACCAGCAACCTGGGAGGAAGCAGGCATTTTAATGTCTCAGATACCACCTTCCAAGGCTTTTGGGAAGCAGCAGAGTATTTATTTGAGGATCAGGTCTGGGACTACATGCAAAAAGCAGTGTTTTCTGGAGTTTGAATTAGGCTGACCAAGCAGAAGGGAGAAGAGGCGGGAAGGAAAAAGGTGAGAGAAGGTATTAAACTTCTAGTGTCAAAAATGGAGGAGGGAACCAAAATCCTAGGAACAAAGACAACCGTGGGAGCTGGAAAGGTTAAAAAAAAAAAAAAAGAATTTTCCCTTTAAAGCTCTCAAACAATTCTGTAGGGACTTAAAGTTCAACATATCAATACTTGATGAAAAATACCTGTTCCATGTTATGCCTAAGATGTTTGATATTCAGACAGATAGTGAGGTTAAGTTTAACAACCTAAGTTATAATAACAATAAGCTTGTCTTCTGGATTGTTAACAACCTAAGTTTGCAGGCCAAATTAGAGAAAAAGGAGGGCTGCAAGGAAAGCCAACTTTTTGGCCCTAGCCTTCCAAGGTCAATTAAGACTCAGGACATATGAGAACTTGTACTATTACATCATGTAACTCGGTAGTGTCCCAAATTTTGTGAGCAAGGAGATTATGGGGCCAAAGAGGAAAGTGATCCATGATGTAGAATGTGCCTAAGGAGAGTCACATGGAGAGAAAACATTCTCTCAGGCTTTCACAGAGAGCACATTCACCAAGTAATGGCCATGACTCATCCACATGGCTGACACTGACAAAGGATCTACAATCTGAGGTACAGAATCTCAGCATAAATCCTGAGGGGATTTTACTGACCTTATCAGACCCAAAAGCTACAACTCTTGTTGCATAGGTCCTGCTTTACCTTGGTCTTAATCATCCAGCAGAAAAGTATAAAAATGAAATATAAGAAGTAAAGCGATGCTGTTATATTGAGCTATAGGGGACTCAGGTCAACAATTTCTGACATTGCCAGTCAAGCGGAAGACCCAATACTATTATGGGCTACTGGACTCTTTTAGAATATTTTGCTGAGTTTACACACTCATAATATTCAAATAATGGAACTTAACAACAAAAGGGGATACAGATGAATGTTCATTTTGTGTCTGTGTATTCAGAGTGGTTGAGATGGATATATAGTTACATTCTCTTAATGAATAGAGGGATTTGTTCTAATGGTGCTTGTAAATAGGATATCATGTCCGCATCTTGTACAGCAATTAACCACTAGGAAGAATGTATGCAATGTGTTAATTTTATTGAAACTGTCCTACCAATTTGATTTGAAGCTGTCTCATTGCTATTTGTTTCTCAATAAAATTATGAGAAAATACACAAATAAATTACTTGCTTAATTTAGTTCAGGAAAAAAAGCTCTCAAAGGAAAATAATTTTTTGATATCTAACTCCCAGAACTATAAGATTTTAAATTTCTGTCATTTTAACCTATTACATTTGTTTTAAAATTCTTACTGATTCAATGTGAAATGCATATGACTTGGGGTAAGTTCAGTGGCATCCACACTCAGGTTGTTTCTGACAGCAGCTCCTTCCCATAAGGCCCTTCACAAAAGCTGTGAATTACTACAGCTGGAGTCTCTTTGGATGACAAAATCTGAAACATATTTAAGAAAAACAAAATTAAAGCCCAAATATACCACAAAAAGAAATTGGAGAAGATGGAACTGCAAGAAGACGTGGTCATGATTATATTTACCTGTTTCTCTGATGCCTCCAGTGCTACCTTGAGAAAGTGTTAAATGAGGTAGAAAATAAGCAGAACAGTTTCTTCTGCTTGCAACCTTGTGCTTATAGATGAGAACATGGGTTGTCACTTTGCTCTCCTCCCTGTCAACTGGAAAGCCAGAGGGCTGCTTTATGTGGTAACAAAATCCTAATCAGGAGAATAAACTTTTGTATATATCAAGTCTTCTAAAAGCATAGGAACTCCACAGAAATAATTTTATCTTTACAAATAAATTGCATTTGTGTAGTTACACTGACAAACTTTGGGGAAAAAAATCACAATATTTGGGTAAGCTTATAAAGCAGAGTCTCAAACCATCATTTCTAAATCTTCCCTCCTTTCTGGAAAAGCCAAAGTAAATAGATGTATGTGGTTTGTATTTCCCACAGGAAAACAATAGTTATTAGGATTATTGTATCTGGAAATTTTTCTTTATATTTTAGTTCTTAAAAGTTTTGTGCATCTTTTTTCTAGTACATGTCCTTTCTGGGACATTCTCTCCGTAGGCAGATGCCTCCCCTTCCTTAAGACCCACCATAAACCTATCTTACATTAAAGTGTAGGAGACATTTGGCATACATAATTTATAAAAGAAAAAACAAATTTTATAAAAGAAACAATAACACCAAGAGCTTAACTAACTTAACTAAAATCTTGCAGGTAATGACTGTTAGATTCTTTCTCCCTATGGGTTACAACTTCCCTTCACTCTGAGGAATCCTACAATTCTGTGAGCAATTTAGCACTTAATTATACCCTTTCTTGTACTGACTCTTGTGGTTTTATAAATATCAGCCTCATCATCCCAATGTTCTAATACTACCTGTGAACTGGGAGCACAGTTACTGCTGCTTTTCCCTTTATTCAGCTTAGCATGGATTTTGGCTTTGGATTTGATGATGTTTGTTCATTTAGATAAAAATAAACTTTGAGTGATCTTATAAAAACTAATAATGTATATTTTATTTGAAAGAGGAAAGTATTTTGGCCATGTTTATAATTAACTTTTTATTCTTTTGAACATAGAATATATTTGTTGTGCCGGGAAAATGGCTCAGTAGAATAAGTACTTGCCTGGCAAGCACTTATTGAGTTCAATCCCTGGTTCCACAAAAAAAAAGCAATGTATTAATTATAATTTCTGACATTGCCAGGGAAGCGGAAGACCCAGTACTATTATGGACTACTGAACTCTTTTAGAATATTTTGTTGATTTTACACACCTATAATATTCAAATAATGGAACTTAAAAAAAAAGGGGATACAGATGAATGTCCATTTTGTATCTGTGTATTCAAAGTGGTTAGGATAGATATATAGTTACATTCTCTTAATGAATAGAGGGATTTGTTCTAATGGTGTTTGTAAATAGGATATCAAATCCACATCTTGTACAGCAATTAACCACTAGGAAGAATGTATGCAATGTGTTAATTAATGAATCTGTCCTACCAATTTGGTTTGAAACTGTCTCATTGCTATTTGTTTCTCAATAAAATTATGGAGAAAAAAGAATATATTGTTGCAAGACACAAATATTTTTTCTTTTTTCTTATATGCTTGTAGTATCTAAAGGTTACATTTACTGTCGATAGTGTGTACATGTGCAGACTATTCTTTCTTTCCCTGCCCACCCATCTCTCCCAGCTTTACATTTGCAAAAACTCTAGCTCCATTTTTTCTTCATTTCTCTTTTTGCATCCTTTTCCTTTCCTTTCCTTCCTCCTCTCTCCATTTCTTGTTCCCCTTCAAATTTGAAAAACATCTCCTATCTTTTATCATTGCTGAAACAAAATGCCCAACACCCAAAGTTAAAGGAGAAAAGTTTATTTTCTCAGTTTGTAGAGGTTTCATTCCATAATTAGCTGGTTCCAAGGCAGGGTGGCAAGACAGAGGGACATTGCAGAAGAGAAACAGTTCATAGCAAGCAGAAGACGAGAAGACCAAAGTCATCACGCAAGCAAAGTACAAGCAATATACATCCACACTAGCCCTTCTTCTGCCCTTCATGTTTTGATCTGGGCTACTCACTTAGACTGGGTAACATTTACCCAGGGTGGGACAACTCAGTCCTACCCAGAACTATGCCAAACCAATCATTGGACTAATTTACTAATCACACACCCTTAATCCCAGATCCACACACTCTAGATCCAGCCACTGCTGAAAAAGTCCCACCCTATGAATGCATAAGGCTTTCAGGGGGACGTTTAGACACAAGCCATGGCCTCTTCCTACTTCATGTTATCTATTATACTCTTTCTTTACATTTTGAGTTTCTCATATAAGAGAAATCATGTGATATTTAAAGTTTTATCAGGGCTGGTGAGATAGTTCAGTGGACTAAGTGCCTGCTTAGGCAAGTGCAGGGACCAAGGTTCCATCCCCTGCACCATATGCTGCTCTGGCCCCGGCCCTGGGGCATGCTGAGCCTGCCAGT